GAGAGGAGGAGATCCACCGTCCCTTTCCTTTTTTTTCCCTGTGTAATATAACACACACACTCAGATCCCAGGGCTTCTCAGACAGTCTCAACTGATAGACAGACACATCGAGCTGCTTTTCCTGCTTCACTAAGTGACTCCTCCCCCAGCTGCCAACGTCACCCTGACACTTTCATATAGATCTCACACAAACCACACCTGTCAATCTATTTAATTGCTTTGTTTTCATTTTTACCATGTCTGTGTCTCTCTCCCCCCTCCCTGCCTCTTTAAAGATAAACAACATGACAATGTTAAAAGAAGTCTTTATAAATAAGTGAGTAGAGGCAACATTTCACTGAGTGGTTAGATTTAATGCTTAAATTAACCTCTTTGGTACCCTGGAACTCCAAGGGTTAAATGACTGTTATTTTGGATTCTAGCTGCAAACTGCTAGAACACACACACATGCATAATCTACACATTCATCTCTGTATCTTTCAATATACACATACACACTTCTTGTTTATATTCACATACATTGTTGTTGTTTTTTAGATGTGGTGTATTAAATTAATATATAAATAGAGTAATTCATTGTAACAAAAAATATTATACATACAGTTTTTTTTTTTTACTCAAGTGTTAAAAAAAATTAAATAGGGACACAATGTAAACTGAATTGAGTTTAGAAGATTTTAATCTTCTTTTACATATACACATTTAACTATGCTGCAAGGCAAATCAGCTACCATGGAAATGTGATCCTGTATGCAAGGATTTATAATGGGTACATTTACTTCCATCAGTGCACAGTGGGTTAATTAATAGCAGAATTACATGTACTGTGTAACAAAAAGTCTTTTAGACAATTTATTGTCATACCTTTCAGTTGCTATTATTATTTTATTATTTATATAGCGCCAGCAAATTCCGTAGCGCTGTACAATTGTTCTATGAATAATAAACGGAATAGTTTATTTATATACATATTAAATTAATGGTTTATTTGAATCACATGTAATTGGAAATGTATGAAAGAGGTAATGAAACAAAATTTAAAATCATATTAAAAGAATACACCCTTTCAGAACCAGAGTGATTAATAATTAATGTCTTTTTTCAAATCACATACAGTGTTAAATACTCTAATTCAATGTGTCCTCTCTATATATGAATGTTTGTTTATATATATATATATATGCACACACCAACAATAAACCAATCACACAGTATAGTCTTTTAAATATAATATATATCTGTTATACATATAATAATGAAACCTCAGACGCACTTATATTGAATATTTAACATTACAAATGGCTTTTAGAAATTCTTAAAATTCTTTAATTTGAATAGCCTTTTTGACTTCCACTGGGTGGCTGTTCCAGGTATCTACTACCATTTATGGTTAATACAAGAATGAAACTGAGTGCCAAGCTTTAAAAATGAATACGTAAATGAACATATTGCTCAGGTCTCTTTTCAGAGCAGGGGTTTCTCTGGGGGGGTTGGTGTAGAGGACACTTGAATTGCACTCTCGGCTTGCCCATTCAGACACGTGCAGCATTCTTCTATGGCTTGGCCCCACACAACAGTCTCTCTTTGATGTGGAGAGGTTTCCACCTCCCTGTACAAAAGGCTTCCCCAGCTGCAGACTTCTCAGGGTTGATTTGTATCACCTTGCTAGGGAAGTGAACATTTCACATGGGAAGAGGAGGGACTTATCTAGTGCAGGCAATTGCTCCTGAGCACCATAAAATAATCACACCATACATTATGCTCCAGTTTCTCTGTTTAACCCTCTCTCCCTTCCATGAATTTGCTGACTTAACTCATTGTATGCTAGTTGCTTGTAATGATACTTTTACTTGGCAGGACTTGGTTAAAAGCAGCATGCTATATAATAAACATTTCCCAGTGTTTCTCACGGAGGGATAGATTTCTATAAGAACATTTTCAAGTGTTTTGTTTTATTACATCATAATCAAAAGAAAACAATAAGTCCTGAGGCAACAAACTTAAACAGGCAAACAAAGCTAAACTGTCTGATTGCTCTGTATTAGGCAACCTGTTCTGCAAATTCTAAAAGGTAAACAATGTTTATTCCAATCAGTTAAGATATTATCTGGAAGCATGTTCCGGGGGTGTAGCAGGAGAGTTGAAAGCTGAAAGCACTGGCTGCGCTGTAAAGTGTGTGTACTGCTGTGTGTGCTCTGGTTAAAAACAGGCTGCAGACAGTGCGGGGCTGAGAGCCAGAGCTCAACTTTCTTCCTGTTTCATTTTAGTGACGGTGCTGGAGAAGATCAGCTCCGGGGGATTTGGCCGCTTTTCTATCTACTGGATTTTTTTTCCACTTTCCTTCCTAAGGGCTTGGAAAAGAAAGGGGTGGGAGGGAACGCAGGCAATAGCAAGGCTGTGTCAGTTTTGCATTGAGAGACCCGCCTAATTATTTGTTTCTTTTGCACAGTGCTTCCCTTTGCCTGAACAGCAGCAGCAGGCTGGGTGCCTGATCCGGCCTGTGTGTAGTCAGCAAGCTGCAGTAGGATACGGCTCAGAGTGCAAAGTGCAGAGCCTGTCATGAGTTTCCTTCGCACTAAGGCAGGCTTCAGGTTGCTGGGTCAAGGTTGGCAGCATATAAAACCAAAGCCTGTGATCTGTCACTCATTTGGTGCTCGGCCTATTGTGGACATGTCCTATTCCCACCACTTTGTGGATTTTCACGGCTCCTCTATCCCCAGTTCTATGAAAAAGCTGGTGGTCACCGAGCTCAGCCCTAACTTCAAAAAGGCAGTTACCTTAATTCCCGATGCCCCCGTGCCAGTGCCTGGGGACGGAGATCTTCTCATCAGAAATCGGTAAGCAACCAGATAATGCAGTTTTTCAGTTACATTAGTGTTTATTTTGTGACATTGCACAACACAGTGTACTTCAGGCTCAAGAGCACTTTTTAATTCCCCTCTAGCTGACACACCCCCATCAGCAATACTACACTCTTGTAGTACTGTCACTTTTAAAGAACCATGTGGAATTGTACAGGCCTACCAGCATTGCTGTCAGTCTGCAAAAATAAACTTGAAAAAATCTAAACTTTTGTGTGTGTGTGTCACTTTAAATATAACTAGTAGTGCACACTTTTATGAGCAAACTATCATTGCAAACAAGTTCACCTCATTATATACTCCAGATATGTTCATGAGTGTTAAACTATAAATACTTGACACCCAGAAGCAATTATTTCACACATTCTAAAATTAACCTTTTTACTAAACAATAACAACATAGCAATGAAGGGGTTAACTTTCTTTTTCTTCTCCTCTTTCTCCTTATAAGAATTGCCCTCCCATTCACACCATAGATCACTTTTTAACTATCTGTTTTCAGCACCAAACACCTGATCTCATTCCATACGTTCAGAGCTTTAATTCCTCCTATGACATCAGATGATATTCTTATCGATCCAATTAGTTATTCCTTACCTGAAGTTCACAAATTCTATGTTTCATGGGAGGTGGGCTCATATTATCACTGTTTGCGATGCAAATGCAGCTTTACAGACAACTCAGAAGACTTTAAAGTCATACAGAAAGAGTGAGTTGTGTTGAAACCCCAGGAGCAGAATGATCCCTTCCCTAAAGTTTGCTGTACATGTCACTAACCTTTCAAGAAACACTGAATCCACAGGAAGAGAAATCACTTCTTGTAGTCAGCTGCCTCTCTTCTTCTCCTTCTGTCCCTCCTCACCATCTCTATCATTTTTGTCATCACCTCCCTCACTCCTGGGAAACGCAGCCTACAGGCAGTAAAGTAGAACTAGCCAGAGAAATGGACCACAGTCTACCCTGCCATAACTTGCCGTTCATTTCTTTAAGGTTTAGACAGATATACCTACAGTAAACAGAAATTCAATAACAGAAAATATATGTATGTTTATTGTATGTAGCTATAAAATTCTCATACGTTTTTATATATATATATATATGCAATGTGTATACATACATATCATTTTAATAATATATGCGGAAATTATATGTATGTCTAAGTGTGTGTGTGTGTGTGTATGTGTGTGTGTATATATATATATATATATATATATATATACACACACACAAAAATTATACCGGTTATGTTTTTAGGTTAGTTTGTTTGAAGTATTTTAAACCATTTCTTTTGCAAATCTGCTTTCTTATTATGTATTTGTACTCTGCGAAATACAAGAAAAACAACAACATGTCATTGGATTAATAAAAAAAATAGATAAAGCTTTCATCCATCACTGCAAATAAGTCTCCCAGGGATGAATGTTATTAAGAGGCCCTTGATATGAAACCTTGTTGAGATCACTTCTCATCTTTCACTGTATCTATATCTCAAAGCAGCTGGGTTAAGCAATGTAAGGAAGAACATAAACCACAACTATCTTATTGCAATGCTTAACTCTGCTTTTTCGAAGTGTATATACTATTTGTATATTCTGAAACACATCTTCTTTACTGAACCACAATCATACAACAAGGATCTGATAAGATACCCCTATGTGTACTCCTGTCTAATTCATTTACTTATATTATGCAAAAATGTTTTTGTACCCCACATTCAGTTTTTTTATAATCTACATCATCATAATGCTCAAATATACCTTTAAACATGCAGCTAGCTAGTTAGACCTTCACTAAGAATTTTCAGGCCAGCTTTTAAGCCAGACTCTTCATTATACCTTAACCCTTTAACAACCTATGGATTTATAGTAACCCCCTTCACCTTCTCACAAAAAACTGTGGGTGTGGTGTCACCTTCTTTCTTTAAAAAAAAAAAAAAAAAAAAAGCCACACCCTGAAAATTCACATTTGGTCCAGATTCATATGTATCAGCCATTAATATAAATATTAAATAAACCTCATTCTTGTCTTATGTAGATAGGCAATATTTTGGGGTAAAATTCTGACCCATTTTGAGGTTTACTATAGTACTGTCAAAAATGTTTATGTGTATATATATATATAACATTTGTATACATTCAGGGTATTTTAAGTGGTTTTAAATAAAGAAACCAACATGTATGTAAAACAATTTCAAAATATATAAACTAGGCTGCTTGTGGAATTTGAAAAAAATTATTTACTATTTTCTATTCAGAAAAGATGATTGTATTTAATAATTTTATTTGACAAATATCTTCTTTCAAATGTAGTGCTGTTGAAATAATAGTGAAATAATACTGTGTTTTTATAGAATTCCCAAACGTGCAATTTGAATTATTTTTCTTTAATTATTCTGTTATATTAAAAAAATGCATTTATTACACTAATTTAAAAAGCTATGAAACTTTCACTTTTAGATACCCAAAAACTCAGTAAACCATAATTTAATAATAAATCAAATTATTTCTGTGTACCAATTTTTCTGATATCTACACTCTTTTTTTGTTATAAATTTCATTTAAACTTAGTTCCAGATTTTTACGAATGTCGTTACAAGCTGTCGTTGCTTCTAAATGTAACTAGCTTGGTAAACAATTGTGAACGTTTTGCATTTAAACATTATATATGTAGATATAGCTGTACTGTTTTATACATTTCAGCAGCCATGAGGTACATTATATTAAGATACAGATTAAATATATTTTTAGATATCACCGTGCAAAATAAAAATTGATCGCATTTAAAAATTACGGTACTATTCTTTCATACATTTCAGCATTTTGTTCCACATCCTACTTTTATGCATTTTTAACTGTATATCTTTTGAAAGATTTGGGGGAATTTTTTAATCATTTTTAGAATTTTATTTATGTAATTTAAAAAATTGTTTGCAAAGGTATTATTCAACATTTTTGATAGCACTATATTTGACCCATTTATGTTCTAGTCTCAGAGACTATTATAACCCACTGCAATTTTTAATTTAACTGTTTAAAATAGGGGGACAAATATATCAATTATATAATAGGTTTTTAAACTCTGATACTATTATACGTGAACTTATGCAACATGCAAATAAAAGCTGCTTTTGATAGAAATAAGAGTTAGTCTATGTTTTCAAAGAAAGAGATATTCTGTGGGTGGTCACTTCCCAGACTGGCAGGACATTAAGAGCTATATGAGAAATAGCCTCTTAGTTTGCAGAAGAGAATAGCAGTTTATTTGCTCTGTATGCAGTTCAGGATGTATTTTAAAGCAGAAAGCTGCAGCCGATAGGTCTAATGTAAAATAGAACCTTTGACCCTTGAGCATGGAATTGAGATTAGAGGAGTTTGTGAAATTCTGTTAAGGGTTAACCTTGCCTTGAAACACCTCGGGGTAACCAAAAGCATATGACCTATCCCATCAGTCAACTGGTGGCTACCTACAGTAATTCTTGCCTGATACGAATGAGCATCACTTGCTTTTATTTTACACTCTGCCTTTGACCCATGAAGGAGGAATTTCTTGTATAAAGCTTTCATCTAATGCAGACAGGTTGTGATTTTATTTGGCCTCACTACTTTTTGTTTGTATGGCGTACTTTTATATTCAATAGGAGCCTTTCATGAATTCATTTTACATTTTTTTTTTACTTTTGTATTAACCCCTTGGGATTTAGGGGTGACAGTGCACTGCAATACATTTAGCATCACTATGGTTAAAGTCAGAGAATAAAACTATTATTTTTTGTAATTTTTTTTTTGCTATTCTAAAATATCTCATTCTTCGATGTAAATAATTTGGCTGTTATAAGAATTGTAATATACCTTATCTGGATTTTAGTTTCAATTATTCTCCCATCTCTGTTTCATTTCACCTTCTACTCTGCAGTGAAGTGGGTTTTTTTTTTTTTTTTTTTGCTTGTTTGATTTTTTTTTCAGTGGACGCTGAATTTAACATCTACATATACTTACATACACTGATATATTTTGCACTTTGTTGAAGCACAATTTATTTAAGATGTTTCATTTTTTTTTTTTCATTTTATTTTAACGGGTGCTATTGTAGTTGGGTAAATTCTAATAAACCCTAATGACCAATCACAGTAATGTGGGGTATCGGTCTGTATAAGTTATAATTATCTATGATTATCTGTAAAAAATGTAAGAAAAACAACTCCGCAGTTTGTAACCCAGCAACATGTTTGCTTACATTGAGGGAGGGTTGCTTTAAGTACCTCTTAACTAAATCACACAACCCCATTTTAGAGAGCTCCTTGCAAACGCTAAAATTACACCTGGTCCACTAATTTTGGTTGTGACTATTGTTCTATAATGAAGGTGGAGTCAGTGCTCAGCCTTAAAATATTTCCTTTTGTTTATGCTGCTGAGTTATCTTTTACCAAACCAGTAAGCTGTCCTATCTTTCATTAAGTTTACCCAATACATATATGCTATATTCATGTTAGATATGTATGTGGCATAAATTATTTTTTCATTGAAAAATGCATTGCTGCCCAAAACTGTTAAATGTACAATTCATTTTAGCATTCCTTTTGGTTCCTGCAAATGATCCTACAAATTTCAAATCTGAATTAATTTACTAATCATATCACAAACATTTCATTGCTAATGTAGGGACCACACACTGCCCCATATAATAACTGAAGTGCCAAACATTTTGTACAGTGTAACTCCAAACAATTCAATGAGCTAATGAGGGTCACTTTTTTGTGAGATGTGAGTGTGCAGATCAACCATTTCTAGGAGACAGATGAAGTTGGTTATGCATCTTTATGGAATTAGACTCCTCAAATTCACACACATTTATGCACCTATTCACTAAATTCACATACCTTGCTGTGACACAAAACAAACTAACAAACACTTTTTTTTTTCAGCTTATATGTTACTAGTCTAATTTGCACAATTATATCAATTTGTGTTGTTTTAAGTGTATATATAATTACAATGCAGAACATGCTACTTCATTTGTTGCATTGATTCTTTTCTTTAACATGACTAGATTATTCATTCTTACTTTACCCTGTCTTACCATTACATGTTTGTTACTTAACACCTTGCAAAAAGCAAACATCCGAAATTAATAGAAAAGCGTGATGAGAATTGTGTCCCTTATTAGAGTTACTAGGCCAGGTTTTTCGGTATAAGCCTTTCGAGACGCTATTGGACTATATGGCTTACATTCCTCATTGAGCCATAGACTTCAAGAAAAGTATGGGAAATGTAGTAGGAATATATATATATATGTGTGTGTGTGTGTGTGTGTGTGTGTATATATATGTACTGTAGTACACTGTTTTTTGTCAGTAGAACCTAAAATAAAGGAAGATTTTATCACACAGGGTTACTTGATCTATGCTTTTTAATGCATTATATAGAAAATATATTTTTTTAAATAATGATACAGAAACTCTGTAAAAATTGACTCCATTTACAATAAATCCCCAGTTTTTAGAAACCTTGCAGTGAGAATGGTCCAGAAACTGACAAGCCTATAGGGATGCCCCAATAGTGTTCTAAGGCAAACAGTTTTTTTTTAACCATAGATCTCTGCATAACATGACTTTATAGGCAGAGCTGGAGTTTATGGGAATAGTACTTCAGCAGTCAGTTTTCTACTTATAAAACCTGTTCGCTGAACTGCAACTCCAAAGATATTTGAGGTCCTTTTTGATATCCTATACAAAAGTTTTGCTTAAAGCGGCACTGTCATGCCAAACTTACCTTTCCCTAATTGATTCCTCTTCTCTCCTTCTGTCAGGATCTGTTCTTCATTTCTTCCAGTCTGCTCTAGTTTTCTTTAAAACCTAAGACAAAGCAGGGACTATTTGTCTTATGGAGCTTTCCTACGCCTGACAAGCTTTGACCAGCGGAGGAGCAAAGTGTGCTTCACTTACAGTGATCAAAGCAATTTTCCCACAGTTCTCACCTTTGATCCGTGATTTTGCGATGCCGTCTGTCACTTAGACAGAACGCCGGCGAAACTACCGAATTTCGTCCTAACAGAATGAGAACAGTTTGTTCATTCATAGGAACGAAACTCCGATCCTATTCGTGTCGCGACTGCATCTTACAGCCGTTTAGTAGATAGCTCCCTAATTCCCCCTGAGCGCCGGGTGGGGCCCCTAAATTATAGTAAGGGGGGACCTATTGTCCTTCCTCCTCAGCCCACACCCTTGAGCGGCGGGTGGGGGCCCTAAAAGAATATGTGGGGGAGATCTATTGTTCTCCCCCTCCACCCCTGAGCGGTGGGTGGGGGCCTAAATAACAATAGGGGGGACCAAGTGCCCTCCCCCCGGTCCACACCTCTGAGCGGCGAGTGGGGGCCCTAAATGAAAATGGAGGGCCCCCACCTGCCGCTCAGGGGTGTGGGATGGGGGGGTGGGGGGGGTGTTGGTTTAAGCCAACCATTTCAGAGTGCCTTTACAGGTAAATGAAGAGACTGACAGGTAGAGTTCTTTAGAATTTTCCCATGCTGTGTAATTTGACTCATAACTCTGACTGGTTGTTTGATAGCAACCAATCAGAGTGTTTATAAGTCAAATTACACAGCATTGGAAAATTCCAAAGAACTTTCCCACGCTGTGTAAAATGACACAGAGCACTCTGGTTGGATTTCAAGCCAACCAATCAGAGTGCTGTGACAGGTAAATTTAGAGACTTACCTGTCAGTCTCTTCATCTACCTGTCAGAGCACTCTGGTTGGCTTAAACCAACCAATCAGAGCGCTCTGAGCATAATTGCAGGGCGTGGGAAGGCTTTATAAACCTTTCCCCACCCTGCGGAGCTCAGTCTGCACTGTGCCCTCACTTGGTGAAGGCAGATTACTTTTTTAGTGTCAAGTTTTTTTCTTTTCGTGATTTTTTTTTTTTTTTCACTCAGGTTTTTTATTTTATTTTCAAAGTCCGAGGGGTATTTTGGACTTTTATTTGGCCTTTTTGAGGGGCTGAAAAAAAATAACCATTTGATGTCTTTTTCCTAAAATCTTTTATTTACAGGGATTCAGTTTTACAGTTTCTTCCACCCCCCCCCCACCCCCACTATTTTTATTATTCATTTAAAAAATAAATACATTTGGGGATGGGGGGGTGACTAGGGGCTTGGGTACCCCTAGTAACCAGGGGGCCCCCACCTGCTGCTTGTCAGGGGGGACAATAGGTCCCCCCACCCTCCGCTCAGCGGTGGGGGCCAGGGGAACAATAGGTCACCCCCCCATTTTCATTTAGGGCCCCCACCTGCTGCTCAGGGGTGGGCGCCGGGTGGGAGTACAATAGGTCCCCCCCCACATTTTCATTTAGGGCCCCCACCCGCCTCTCATGGGGGAGGCTGTGGCGGAGGACAATAGGTCCCCCCCCTTATTGTTATTTAGGGTCCCCACCCACCGCTCAGGGGTGGGGGCTGGGGTGGGGTGGAGTGGCGCAGTAGGTACCTCATTCAGTGTAAGAGGGAACAATCAAAAGTGTTATTAAACAAAATTATTCTGAATAAAATTATGTTAATTAAAAAGCACCTGGTGCAACTGTAACTTACAGGAACCCTATAGTGTTATGAATACAAAGCTGTATTCCTAACACTATAATGTTCCTAAGCAACCCCACTCTCATGCCCCCCTTGACAGTTTACTCACTAAAACACTCCCCTTATTCCAATGTCCCTCAGCTCTGTCTTTGCCTCCTCCTCTTCCCTCAACGTCCACATTGAGGGGGTACTTAATGTGCACATGTGGCAAGTGCTGCGCGCATTAGGCCATATTATCCATAGAAAAGCATTGAATCAGTGCTTTCTATGAGGGATTTGAAGATGCTGGATGTCCTCAGTGTGGTAGACAGTCACTAGAGACAGTCTTAACCCTGCAATATAAATTTAGCAGTTTCTTTAAAACTGCAATGTTTTAGATTTCAGGGTTATGGGACCAGGGGCAGACCACTTCAATGAGATGAAGTGGCCTAGGTGTCTATGGTGTCCCTTTAACATTTAACCTAATATGTCTGGAGTTTCCCCTTAAAGTATGTCTATGCAAGACAATAATAATAATAATAATAATAATAATAAAATAATATCCTTTCTGGCTGGTTATCATCCACTTCTAATGGAGACTCCTTGTGGGTTAAAACTAGTTGCTGCCAGTGTAGTGTGTTTTTTCTGAAATGTTGCCATTTCAGAGTTCTCATATTCTCTGGTTTTGTTGCAGTACATTTACTTGTAGGAACACTTTAGGGTCAGGAACACAAACATTCTATGTTTCTATGTTTCTGACCCTATAGTGCTAAAATTCCATCCAGCCCCCCTGCCAACCATTGCCTCCCTAAATATAGTAAAGTCGTACTTGTATTCAAGATGATTGAATCAATGCATCTCTATAAGGAACGTTCAGTGTCTCCATGGAGTGGGTGGAGACAATGAATTGCTGTGCAGCACTGCCCCAGGAAGTACCTCTAGTAGCAATCTGAGGAGTGGCCAGTGGAGATGTCACTATGCTATAATGTAAATACTGCATTTTCTCTGAAATTATAGTGTTTACTGCAAAAGGCTATGAACAGAATGATTCTACTTACCTGAACAAATATAATAAGCTGACGTTGTTCTGGTGACTATAGTCTCCCTTTACGTTTTCCTTTAGTTAAAAGAGTAAGACGTAGACCCCATGCTCATTCTGCCTTGAGGGGCATCGGCTTCACCTCCCTGCGGCCCAAAGAAGGCTGAAATAATCATCCAGGGTTGCTGTATCGCTCATGAAGAGGGTACTTACCAGCATTTTGGATCTAGACTGCCCTTGTGAGCGGCATCAGTCTGATATGCAAATGGTATAACTTCTACCTGTAATTACACATGTGAGCAAAAGGATATTTTGGGACTAAAGCGAGGACTACCTGAAGAGCAATCTGTTGAGGTTTCTCTGAGCTTTTGCCTGTTCTCAGAGTTCTTATATTCTTTGTTTTTGTTGCCAGTGGAGAGTGTGTCTTAGCTGTGGCCTTGTGTTCCGTATGATATAGAAGACTTTATTTAGATGATGAATATAGCAAAATCTTTATTTAGCAAAACCTATATGGAACTGAGAGTGCAACACTGATGCTAATTATTTAGGCCAGAAGCTATTAAATGCACAAAATGTCATGCTGATGCCTTTAGTGGTGTAATGCATATGCTGTGCCCTTTTTTTTTTTTTTTTTTTTTTTTTTTTTTTTTTTTTTTTTTTTTTTTTTTTTTTTGTCTTTTTATGAGGTATTCTGGTTTTGACTAGATAACCAAAAAGAGAGGGTCAATGTAACTTGTAATGTAGCACTAATTCTATCACATTAAAGTAATATACTCTTCCTCCCCATAAGTATTTTCTTAAAGGGAAATTCTCATCACCATTTTGCAGAGAATGCAACATTTAAAAAAAAAAAAAAATGAGGAGAGCCATAAGAGTTGCAGAAGGGTGGAGGGATATAAGGTGAATACGTGTGTAAACGTAAGAAATTTTAATAAAGGCTAATCAGGATGAGTGTCGCGTACACGTTAGGCCTTCCTTATAGGAAAGCACAGGTTTTTTTTTCAAGATGCTAGATGTCCTCATGCAAAGCGTGAAGACGTCAAATGTCAATTAACAGAGTTAAACGCTATGAAACAGCAGGAAGCGCCTCTAGTGACTGTCTGTTAGATTCTTGAGGCAGTCTTATCCCTGCAACATAAACATTGCAGTTTCTCTAAAACTACAATGGTTTATATTGCAGGGTTAAGGGGTCAGGGACACTGCACCCAGACCACTTCAATGGGATAAAGTTGTCTGGGTGCCTACAGTGCCTACAGTGTCCCTTTTATGTTTTAACAAGCTTTACTTTGTTTTGGATTCCAAACTGTGTGCTAGTTTAAGTTCCTCTGACTTCTGCTGATGTTTGTTTTGTACTTCGTAATTATGTAAGATATATCTCAAGCCCTGAGAGATTGTATGGTTGTATGTTGAGAATTTGTTTTAAATAGTTGTGTAAATTGAATACTGCTTTCACATATACTTTATTTATTTGAGAAGCTGATGAGAAAATGCTGAGAACTTTTGCCCTCTTACAAATATTTGATCAGCATACTGGGATAGGTTGCTGATCATTTTATAACTCATTAACCAAATCTCAATAACTACTTATATATATATATATGATCTACAACATTTGTAGTCAACCATCTTCAGTGGCGTCTCCAGCATTCATATTTAGGGGGGGGCACATGGGGGGCCGGGGACAGAAGTAGGGGGGCAATTACAAAGCGTGTGTGTGTATATATGCATATATATATATATATATATATATATATATAGTATATATATATATATATATATATATATATATATATATATATATATATATATATATATATATATATATACACACACACACTAAAAGTTAACAACAGCATTTCAGCACCTTGATAAATATGCAAAGGACCTCTATAGGCACCCAGACCACTTCAGCTTAAATGAGTGGTTCCAAGAGGACCTCTAGGATTAACCCTTTTTTTTACTCAGCTTGTGTTTCAAGTTTATATATTTCGAATTAGCCAGCAGCCTCCTCTATCTCTAGTGGAGCAGCCTTAGAAGCGTTTTCTCACTGTGAAAATCACAGTGAGAACGCATAGCGATCCATAGAAAGCATTGTAAATGCTTTCCTATCGACAAGCTGAATAAGCGGCTCCTGCGCGCATGCGCTGTCAGCCGATATTATCGCGAGCAAGGAGGAGTACAGCTCCCCGCCGGGCGAAAGGTAAGTGTTTAACCCCTTCCTCTCTCCAGAGCCCGGCGGGAGGGGGTCCCTGAGGGTGGGGGCACCCTCAGGGCACTATAGTGCCAGGAAAACGAGTATGTTTTCCTGGCACTATAGTGGTCTTTTAAGTCTGCTTTAGAGATGCAGTTGTAACAATATCTCATGATGCCAGAATTGTTACAAAACTAGTTTAAAAAAAAAATATATATTTTTAACAATAATTTACAACATGCAATTTGAAGGGAATTTAAATTAACACTTCTATATAAATATTTCACATACATAGAAAATGGTCACTTAACAGTGTATTCTCTACGCTATAGTTTAAGCATTTTAAAGTGACACAAAGTTGTATTTTGAAATGCTAATTCAAATGAATTTTTACTGTAAGAAGAGCAGATTTAGCTCCACTTCCATGAACAATTAAAAATGGTTGGCACTAAAGTTTGTGCCCTGACCTATAGTTGGTGAATACTATACCAACACAAACTAAAATTACTTGTTTCATTCTCTTGCTCACAATATGGAATCCTGGGTACATGCATATCATTTACTCAAACGCTGCAATTAAAGTTCACGTTACTTACAGTAGTAGTGCCACTGTCTGGAGTGTCTGCTCCGCTCACTCAGTCCCTCTGCAAATTGGACTCTCAGGTAGGTAAGGTTTCACACCTTATGTGGGGCCGCACTGCAAACTGTTTGCAATCTCTGGTAAGTAAGGTGACACTGTCACAACACTGTCTGCAATCTCAGGAGTAAGTGCCACTGTCATACCACTCACTGTCTGCAATCAGGAGTAAGTAACCTTTGTCACACTCACACCACTCACTGTAATCAGTGCAATTAATTCACTTTTCTCAGAACCTAGATGTGGCAGAGGCAGCGGGCCACAATACCTGCTCCTCTCTGCTTGATCTGTTCTGCCTCCTTTGCTCTTGCTCCTCAAAGCTTGCTCTGCTCCTCTTTGCTTGCTCTGCTCTGCCTCCTCTCTGCATGCTGTGCTTCTATTTGCATGGTCTGCTTTTACTCCTCTCTGCTTGCTCTGCTCCGCCACTCTCGACTTGCTCTGCTTTTCTCTACTTACTCTGCTCTGCTCCTCTCTACTTGCTCTGCTCTTGTCCTCTCTACTTGCTCTGCACTGCCTCTTCTCTGCTTGTTCTGCTCCTCTCTGTTTGCTCTGCTCCTGCACATATTGCCTAATACATACAAACCCATACACACACACTGCCTAATACATCCATCCATCCATTTATACACACATATTGCCTGATGCATACATCTATACACACATATTGCCTAATACATAGACCTATAAACGCACACTGCCTAATACATTCTCACTGAATACTTACATCCATACACACACACTGCCTAATACATCCATCTGCACACACATATTGCACAATACATATATTGCCTAATACATACACCTATACACGCACACTGCCTAATACATACATCCATACACACATACTGCCAAATACCAGACATCCCATGTCTCCCGGTAGTTCAGGGAGACTCTCGCATGTTGAATGCGGTTCCCTGACACCCGCAGATCATACATAATATCCCGGAAATCACACACACAATCAAATCTATAAGGTATGACTTCTGTGCATGTCAATATGTGTGTGTATCTGTGTGTGTGTTTCAGTGTGTGTATCTGAATGTATGTGCCAGTGTGCGTTTCAATGTGTGTATCTGTGTGTCAGTGTGTGTGTATGTGCCAGTAAGCATATCTGTGTGTCTGTGTGTGTTGGTGGAGGGGGGGGGAGTGAGCGCAAGCATATCAGGGGGAGGTGGAGTGACCGCACATGTGCACGGGGGTGGCATAGTAAATTGTGAAGCCACCTCCCTGAAATGCATTTTTGCATGTTAGGATACATTTTACATTAAATATATAATTTATAGCTGTGATAATATTTTCATCCATTTGGTGGGATTTTATTTATAATATTGTGGGATTTTATTTATAGTAATGGGTTTACGTTAACTAATGTTACAGTGAACCTGTCTAACACTGTAAGAAACATTTTTTTCATTATAATCTATCAAATGTATTATGAATATAATTGGTCGCATAGTCACTCGCACACGTCACTTACACACTCTAACATACACTACTTACTGAAGTATACACACGTCACACACTCTAACTCACGTATTAAGTATATACACAATGTCACTGACACACTCACTTACACACACTATTATTAAGTATACACACAATGTCACACACTAACACATTATTATTACGTATACACACGTCACTGACACACACTATTAAGTATACACACAATGTCACACACTCCCACTAACACTCACTATTATTAAGTATACACACAATGTGCCACAATCTCACTAACACACACTGTTAAGTATACACATAATGTCACTGACACTATTAAGTATACACACAATGTCTCACACTCTCACTAACACACACTATTCAGTATACACACACACACAATGTCTCACACTCTCACTCACACACTATTCAGTATACACATACTCTCACTAACACACTAATCCGTATACACACACACACAATCAATGTCTCACACTCTCACTAACACACACTATTCAGTATACACACAATATCTTACACTCTCACTAACACACACTATTCAGTATACACACAATATCTTACACTCTCACTAACACACACTATTCAGTATGCACACAATGTCTCACACTCTCACTAACACACACTATTCAGTATACACACACACAATGTCTCACACTCTCACTAACACACACTATTCAGTATACACACACACAATGTCTCACACTCTCACTAACACACACTATTCAGTATACACACAATATCTTACACTCTCACTAACACACACTATTCAGTATACACACACACAATGTCTCACACTCTCACTCACACACACTATTCAGTATACACACACACAATGTCTCACACTCTCACTAACACACACTATTCAGTATACACACTCTCACTAACACACTATTCAGTATATACACACACAATGTCTCACACTCTCACTAACACACACTATTCAGTATACACACTCTCACTAACACACACTATTCAGTATACACACACACACAATGTCTCACACTCTCACTAACACACACTATTCAGTATACACACACACACAATGTCTCACACTCTCACTAACACACACTATTCAGTATACACACACACACAGTCTCACACTCTCACTAACACACACTATTCAGTATACACACACACACAATGTCTCACACTCTCACTAACACACACTATTCAGTATACACACACACACAGTCTCACACTCTCACTAACACACACTATTCAGTATACACACACACACAATGTCTCACACTCTCACTAACACACACTATTTAGTATACACACACACAATGTCTCACACTCTCACTAACACACACTATTTAGTATACACATACACACAATATCTTACACTCTCACTAACACACACTATTCAGTATACACACACACAATGTCTCACACTCTCACTCACACACACTATTCAGTATACACACACACAATGTCTCACACTCTCACTAACACACACTATTCAGTATACACACTCTCACTAACACACTATTCAGTATATACACACACAATGTCTCACACTCTCACTAACACACACTATTCAGTATACACACTCTCACTAACACACACTATTCAGTATACACACACACACAATGTCTCACACTCTCACTAACACACACTATTCAGTATACACACACACACAATGTCTCACACTCTCACTAACACACACTATTCAGTATACACACACACACAGTCTCACACTCTCACTAACACACACTATTCAGTATACACACACACACAATGTCTCACACTCTCACTAACACACACTATTCAGTATACACACACACACAGTCTCACACTCTCACTAACACACACTATTCAGTATACACACACACACAATGTCTCACACTCTCACTAACACACACTATTTAGTATACACACACACAATGTCTCACACTCTCACTAACACACACTATTTAGTATACACATACACACAATATCTTACACTCTCACTAACACACACTCTTACTGAACTATACACACTCACACAAGTTTAGTCACACTTTATACACACAAACATACACAATATGATCAGCCCCCTTGGGCTCCATGTGGGCCATCCCTGTGCTAGGGCTGTGGAGGAGGATCCATTCAGTACTTACTGCTGGCTGGTCTCCCTCCATGTTACTGAGAGCCCAGCCTCTGAGCAGATGGATCCCCCTGCCTGTAAACACGCACAGACACTGGAGGGAGGAGGAAGCAGGAAGCAGGCTGTGCTCACTGTGCACCGCTCTCCTGCTCCCCTAGCAGAAACAAAGGGGAGACTTCCTGCAGGCTGGACAATGGTTCCTCCTCCACAGCACTAGAAGTCTCCCCTTCAGTGAGCACAGCCTGCTTCCCTCCTCCCTCCAGTGTCTCTCCATGTTTACAGGCTGGGGAATTCCCCTGCCTGCAGGATCCATCTGCTCAGGGGCTGGGCTCTCAGTAGCATGGAGGGAGCCCAGTGAGCAGTAAGTTCATTTCCAGTTGGGGGGGCACAGCCTGATCTAGGGGGGGCCATGGCCCCCTCTGCCCCCCCCCCCCTAGTGACGCCACTTACCATCTTCACTCCGGATGTTGTGGACTACATTTCTCTTGATGCTGGATTATGAAAGATGTAGTTCACAACACCTGGAGTGCTGATAGTTGGCTTTCCCTTATCTACAACTTCAAAGTTGCATCTGTCCAAACATCTCAACATGGCTTTTTTGAGGGGCTTAAATGTGCATCATCTCATTGCGCGTGAGTGAAGCAAGCTGACAATTTTGTCAAGAATGCCCCATGGTGTTCTGTATGCATTGGCATGTTTTAGGCCATACTTGCATATGCGCTGTTACCATATACCATTGTTATCAGTGCCAAAGAACGGGATATATACTAAATAACTGCAATGGAGATAGATTGTCCTTAAAGAGTATACACAGGCAGTATTATGCGTAGAAGATACTCGTCTACATTGCCTATCATCCGCCAATTATTTTTATGCAAGACTCCAATTACTAAGTTGAATTATGTATGCATATCTAGAAATGTACATGTTTTATGTAATTCCTCAGTGGACATACAGCAAGCTCCTGTGTATCAGAATTTCTGAATCCAAATTTAATTGGCCCTTTGAGTTCCAAAGGTCTGCTTTACGAACCTATCTAGTGCTCAAAGGTTTACTAAATCAACCAGCGCACACGATAATACTGAAACTGCTATTAGCTGGCCCTTTTTTCTTTCCAGAAGGCAGATTGCTCTGGAACACTGTGTGTTTGCACAGAATGATAGCTTGCTCTGGAACACTGAGGAGAATACAGGAGCTCTAGTACGGTAGGAAACAGTACCACTGAGCAAGGCCTTCAGGAATAGGACACAATTGCTCCCGACTGATTCCTCTCTTGCAACTGTCATTAGTCTAATCCTATCCTTACTTTTTGTGTCATTTTACCCCCCTCCCTCTAGCATGTAAGCTCATTGAGCAGGACCATCAACCCCTCTGTCCATGTGTGTCCAACTTGTCTGGTTACAACTACATGTCTGTTCATCCACCCACTGTAAAGCGCTGCAGAATTTGTTGGCGCTAATTAAATAATAACATAATAATAATGAAGCAAAAGTGTTGTTAGGGAAGATATGGAGTTCAGACCTGAAACACAATGAACTGGCAAAGAAGGGGCAAGACTGAATTTTGAGCCAAACTTCTGTATGGACATATTACAAAAAAAAAAACAAATGGATTATGGACAAATAGTTTCATGATTTTATGATTCAGAGTTCTGCCCACTGGGCAAAAAAAAAAAAAAAGATAATTGATGTTTAGGTGACAATCACTAAATGCTGATTTTAAAAGTTGAGTACTTTGTTAAATGCAAACATATGAACGCAACTTAAAGGACCACTCTAGGCACCCAGACCACTTCAGCTTAATTAAGTGGTCTGGGTGCCAGGTCCAGCTAGGGTTAACCCATTTTTTTATAAACATAGCAGTTTCAGAGAAACTGCTATGTTTATGAATGGGTTAAGCCTTTCCCCTAATCCTCTAGTGGCTGTCTCATTGACAGCCACTAGAGGCGCTTGCGTGCTTCTCACTGTGATTTTCACAGTGAGAGCACGCAAGCGTCCATAGGAAAGCATTGTAAATGCTTTCCTATGCGACTGGCTGAATGTGCGCGCAGCTCTTGCCACGCGTGCGCATTCAGCCCAGGAGGAGGATCGGAGGAGGAGAGCTCCCCGCCCAGCGCTGGAAAAAAGTAAGTTTTTAACCCTTTTTTCCCTTCCAGAGCCGGGCGGGAGGGGGTCTCTGAGGGTCGGGGCACCCTCAGGGCACTATAGTGCCAGGAAAACGAGTATGTTTTCCTGGCACTATAGTGGTCCTTTAATATTTTCCTTTTTTTTTTTTCTTTTCTTTAATTTTTATTTTGCTGAAACCAAACTTTATATTTCAAACTGTCCATGATCGGTTACCTTGTTAAATGCATGCAAATTAATGCAATTAAATGTAAAAAAGTGACTGTAAACCTTTTCATATATGTATTTATGCTATTTTTTTCTGAACAATATTACAGTGTTTCCCTGAAAATAAGACAGGGTCTTATATAATTTTTTGCTCCAAAAAACACACTAAGGCTTATTTTCAGGGCGTGTCTTATTGTTAAAAGATCACTATAGGGTCAGGAACACAAACCTGTATACCTGACCCTATAGCGTTAAAACCACCATCTAGCCCCCCTGGGCCCCTCATGCCTCCATAAATATAGCAAACTCTTACTGTATTCAAGCCAGAAGCTGTAACTCTGCATGCTGTTTGCCTCAAAAAAAAAGCAGTCTGCTGACATCATCAGAAGTGGTAGCCTGATCCAATCACAGTGCTTCCCCATAGAATTGGCTGAGACTGACAAAGAGGCAGATCAGAGGCAGAGCCAGCATGATTCAAACATCAGCATCTCCTCATAGATATGAATTGAATCAATGAATCTCTATGAGGAAAGTTCAGTGTCTGCATGCAGTGGAAGGAGATATTGAATGAATGGATGCATTTTAGGCCGCCATGACCCAGGAAGGATCTCTAACAGCCATCTGAGGAGTGGCCAGTTAAGTTATCACTAGGCTGTAATGTAAACACTGCATTTTCTCTGAAAAGAGAAATTAATTCTTCACCCAAGTCACAACCTTTTGCAGGCTAGGCTTCACAAAGTTACCACACTGATTTCTCTCCATTCTTTTTTCAATGCATTCATTGATTTCCATGCGCAGATGGCTCTTGAATGGCCTGTTTATTGCAATATCAAGAGTATGGAGATAGCCAGTCATTCCTGAAGGAAGCATTACTTGATCTATGTTTTTAGTACTGTGAGTGCTGGCTGAATCCCACACAAGCAGACCTCTTTTGGCCCCCTCGCAAAACAAGTGGCAGCATTAAATCAACCCACTTCCTTATAGCTGCTTGCGTGCACCAGGCTTTTTCGGTCTCAAGAATATAAATGCCTGAAACACGTTCAATCGTCTCCTTCTTGCCCTTAGTGATGAGTAGATGAATTGTCAAAATGCAGGTAACACGTGCGCTTTGGTAACCACTGGAGGGAATGTAGATTGACGAGGAACCCCTCTGATCAATTGTTGTTTGAGATCCTTGGCCCATAAACACTGCAGTTTCATCCATAGCAATCGTGTTGGAGAGTTGGTACTTAGAAAAGTTGACGCAATCAACAAAAAACTTGAATGCAAGTGCATGTTTAATAATTTTAGTATCTTCCAGCTTGAACAGTGTTGTCGATCTTCTTAGTGACACTACATATCACTTAAGGAAGTCATCCAGCCAGTGTTGTCAAACTCTGAAATCTTCTGGGGATAATTCAAAACTGTGGTGCCATTGCAAGAGCAAATGCTTGAATATCAGCCCTGTGCACAACGAAAGCCTTTGCTCTCCTGTCAGCAATCCATTCACAGATGATGCCTTCCAGCTCAGGAAATAATAGTTGCCAACCTGATCCATACTTGCGCTTCTTGGCATTTCCCTCGTCCACCTGTTGCTTGAGATTATCGTACACACTGCTCGTCATTTTCGGATCATTCGGTCATCCAGGTATATTCTCTTGGCAGAAAGTTGTAAGATTCTGGCAGGGTGAATCCTCCACGATTCCTTTCTTGTACACAACGGAATATCTCATTTTTATTATTTTTTTTGCACTAATTTTGTCTGGGTGTCAAAATGTTACAGACTTACGTTTTTACAACACTGTCGGTAAGTGAGGATGTACTACTGTAGCAAGCATGTACCAGAAAGCAGGTCTACATTCGGGGAAATTCAATAGTGCATGGAATCCTGCTAATCTATGTTTGGGGAAACTTTCCCGAACATAGATTATTTTAATTGCGAATGGAATCCCACAAATCTATGTTCAGGGAAAATTCCCCGAACATAGGTTGGTGAATGCAGACTAGGGATTATTTTTGGGGTAGGTCTTCTATTAAGAGTATCCTCCGAAAATAAGCTAGAGGGATGTCTTATTTTCGGGGAATAACGGTATGTTTGTATGTCTTTTGATGCGTTCTTATTGAATAAATCTATTGTATTTTTTATGTTTTCACTGAAAATATTGCGTTAGTGAAAATATGTTTTAAAATGCATATATATTGTTAGTCGTCCTTTAACTTCTACATCTGCTAAAACTTATTATCCATATTGTGTTCTGCCCAGTCATGGTGTTGTGGTATGGTCGCTTTCGGGGACAAATTGTAAGGATAATAATGTGTAGTGTGCACATACAGATATATAAATACAGCATTATATCCTCTATATACATTTATATTTAGGGTTATTCTTTGCTTTTTTTTTTTGTCTTTTTTTTTTTGTCTGCTGAGCAGCCACCAGAGGGAACTAAACTTTCCCAGTGTGTTTGTTTCCTTTTTTTATTCTTGGCTGTGAAAAGGTCAGATATTGCTTTAATTAGAATTGTCAACAACTGATTTCTCTTTGAATCAGAAAATGCACAATCTTGGTCTTCCTAGTTACACTGGACTGGGTCCTTTCCCATCTCTCTAGTGTGTCTCAGATTTTGTACATAACCAGACTCTCCATTGAGCCATCACAAGTGCAATATCTGGCAACATTTAAATTTTAGGGTGTGCGTGGAGGTAAAGTGAGGGGTGAGGCTGTTCTGGGAAATTTTAGTTGACTTACTAATAATTTAAGCAACTAAAATGCAATTTAGAACAAGAACAATGTATCTCATTTACACAGGCTGATTTTTAAATACATTTATAGTACATTAATGCAAGTTTAGTTATGTGGAGCCCTGCTATACACTCATACCCACCAGCAGAAAAGGAGGAGCACGATAGAAATGATGGACAGAGGGATTTGGGCAGAAATAGGAACTGTCCCTTGTAAATAGGGACACTTCTGAGTTATGCTGTTGAATTTTTCTATTAAATATATATTTCTCTCTCCTTTCTTGCCAGGCATACCTATCCAATCATTGCTTCTCTGGAAACTAATAATTATCCATTACATTCTCCATCTGGTATTACTCAAGGATCAGTCCTTAGCCATTTTTAATCTCTTTCCAATCATATACGTTTTTGTTTTGTTTGTTTCCTGTGCACTTGTGTGGAGATGATACACAGATTTATCACTGCTGACCTGCAACCTCTGTCATAAGCCAACTTCCTTTCTGCCATATCTCAATGGATGACCCATAATTTTCTTCAAACTGAATCTTTCAGAATTTATATACAATCATTTTAACATATATATGTATATATTTTTTTTTTTTACTGAAAACATTTATTGTATAAAATCTAATTAGTCACACACTTTTCATTTAAAGTTATTTTTTTTTTAATATTTTGATAATTAGTTTTGCAGATCCACATTATAGTATTTCATCACTACATAATATCAAACTTTCATATGTAAAACAATGGCATCTTAATTCCCCCCCAAAATCTGCTATAGTTAATGTAACTACTACTATGAAACTGGTTTGTCAAATATTTTAATTTAATTATTTCATTATTGCCTTAATTTAGATTAGTATTGCATGTTATCTTATCTATCCTAGTCTGTGAAATGGTATATATTTAAAAACATTATTGAAAAATTATTATGAACTGTTAAGGATCGGTTACATTTTATTATCTGTCCAGATACGTCAATAAAGCAACATGTGGATTTGATGTGTGGCAGTAATCTTTTCTGTTTTACCTTTGGAATGAAATCACCATAAAATATACACCTAACATAAAACATGACTAATAATACTCACATAAGTTGCAAATAACAACATTTTAATACGATAAATAAAAAATATATATGTTATGTACATAAAGACAATGGATCTAAAATGGAAATTATTATGAGATGCTAAGGAAGCAGAAGAATCAGGGAAATATACCAAAAAAAAAAAAATAATAATAAAAAAAGACAGCCACTTGACTTTACATCGTCTCACCTTTGATAGAAAAGCATACTTTAGCTGATGCCCAGAACTTTAGGGACACCCTGATCGTGCTAAAGTTCCATTGGTGGAAATTTAAAATGGGATTGTGCATATGATATCACAGATGCACTGTATGCAATGTCATATTGCTTTCCATACTGCACCCATTGTTCCTATTTTCTGTTTTTCTAGAGGGAGCCGCAGAGCAATCTTGGTACATGGGTAGGGAGACACTTTAAAGTCACAGGAGCACTTACGATCAGAGCCAATCCACCTAGGCGCCACCTCATGTGAGTTGTATAGCACACTATAATTTAGCACAATTAGTTTTTAGTATCACACTATATTTTGTATATTCTTATGGTTTATTACATGGTCAACAACCATAACCCAAAGTACACATGGGGTAAGTTGCCTTAATTGTTAGCTCTCCACTCACATTGATATTTGGGTGTGATCAACAAATATTTATTTTGTTTTCTTATAGAATGAGCTGTTGCACCTGGCTACAAAGTATTGTAGAATTCTAATTTTGTATATTCTTGAACATGTTTTCATTGATGCTAAACAAGTTGTTTTTTCTTTCTAGATTTGTTGGTGTCAATGCGTCGGACATAAACTTTTCTTCTGGTCGCTATGATATCTCCACGAAACCTCCTTTCGATGCTGGATTTGAAGGCATTGGCGAAGTAGTAGCTCTGGGCCTGAGTGCCAGTAAAACTTATGCAATTGGTCAGCCAGTAGCCTATTTGGCAAATGGCTCCTTTGCCGAATATACAGTTGTACCAGCAAAGGTGGCAATTCCAGTGCCTTTTGTAAAACCAGAGATCTTAACTCTTCTTGTCAGTGGCACAACAGCTTATATCAGTCTCAAGGAGATGGGACAATTGTCTGAAGGAAAGAAGGTTTTGGTCACGGCAGCAGCTGGTGGAACAGGACAGTTTGCTGTGCAAATTGCAAAACAAGCTAAATGCTATGTTATTGGAACCTGCTCTTCCGATGAAAAGGCAGGATTTCTAAAATCGCTTAACTGTGATCTTCCAATCAACTATAAAACTGAAAATGTTGGTTTAGTTATAAAGAAGAGGTTTCCAGAGGGTGTAGATGTTGTATACGAGTCTATCGGAGGGGAAATGTTTGATATGTCAGTCAACTGTTTAGCTATAAAAGGCCGCCTTATAATTATTGGCTTCATCTCTGGCTACCAATCATCTAAGGGTATCTTACCGGTTAAAACTAGTTCTTTACCTGCTGTTTTACTTAGAAAATCTGCCAGTATTCAAGGCTTTCTGCTGTTCCATTACCTCTCTGAATATAGAGAAGCAATGACATCTTTATTGAAACAGTACCAAACTGGAGAGCTGGTTTGTGAAGTAGACAATGGGGACCAAGCTCCAGAAGGCAGGTTCGTAGGCTTGGAGTCTGTCTTCCGTGCTGTAGATTATATGTACATGGGGAAAAACATAGGAAAAATTGTAGTTGAATTACCTCACCCTGTCAACAGCAAGCTGTAAAAACAGAACAATGATATAAATCACAAGAGAAAATTGTTCTTTCTCCTTGAGAATGTCTAAAACATGTTGTTGCTAATGGATAGTATATTAAAACCAGTATCAAGGTGTTGGTAAAAAGTTTTCATTTCAAGAAAAAAAAAATCTTAATTTAAAGGCACGGATTTGGTAGGCCACCAGTTAACCTCTCCAAAACCACAACTGTCTATAATACCAATATTTGTGCATTAATATATTTATGGATGATTGTAAAGATTTTTTTATCACAGCTTGTGATTATATTCTATAAAATGTATACATTTCATGCAGATTTACTAGGTATATTTTGAAAAAAGATTAGTTTGGCTTTCTTACTTTATAGAATAAATTGAAAGACCTACTTTTAAAGGGACCTTAGAATTGACAGTATAGAATACTGAATCTGAATATCTATGCAATTTTGAATTTCTATGCATTTTGAAATTAATGTAACTTGTCAGAATAAAAAAAATAATAAAATGCCTAAATATAATTAAGTATATTAAAATACAACTAATGTGTATATATTTCTAGAATTTCGACTTTATTATGGGCCTTGGTAAATTATGAAAAGAAATGATACACACAGCTCATTTTTTATTTATTTTATTTTTAAAATTTATTTATTTTTATGTGACGTGCACAAGGGCCATTTCAATTTGCAATCTGTGGTTACATTGAATCTGTTTTTAATATGCCAAGGGCAGAACCACCTCATGTATATGGGAAAACTGTATGTACCAAAAGGTAAGTGTGGTGTCAGTCCATTTGAAACCATGTTCAGTGTAGGGAAGTATATGCTAAGGTTACATAAACAGAAAAAGGGATACATTCATACATAAATACAGATTTTTGTTTTTAATTTAATTAGAATAAACTGTATCTATGTGCCTAGTCAATAAAACAAACACTTGCTTTATCTCTCCATATTTTTTTTTTTTTTAGGGACACTATAGTCACTAGTGCAACTACATGTATTCCTGACCCTATAGTGTTAACACGACCATTTAGTCCCCCTGGGCCCCTCATGCCTCCATAAATATTGCAAAAATCGTACTGTATTCATGCCAGAAGCTGTAAATCTGCATGCTGTTAGGCTCAGGAAAAATAAGCAATCTGCTGACATGTGATAGCCTGATCCAATCACAGTGCTTCCCCATAGGATTGGCTGAGACTGACAAGGAGGCAGATCAGGGGCAGAGCCAGCAAGATTCAAACACAGCCCTGGCCAATCAGCATCTACTCATAGAGATGAATTGAATCAATTAATCTCTATGAGGAAAGCTCAGTGTCTGCGTGCAGTGGGAGGAGGTACTGAAGCACAGGATGCTCGTGCTCAGAAGTTCCTCTGGTGGCATTCTAAGTGACTGCAACTGGAGGTGTTCCTAGCTTTCAATGTAAACACTGTATTTTCTCAGAAATATAGAGAACGTAGGAATAGCAGGATTGGAGTAGCATATATATATAAACAATCAATCAGGAGCAAAGTTCTAAAGGTGGTGCAATCACCATGGAAACCAAAGGAAAGTTTTTGCTGGCTATACCTTTCCAACTTTTCCAAGATGTTGTTCTTTAAACCTATCCTTTCAGTTATGATTTTTTTTTTTTTTTTTTTTTTACTCTTTGAAGTCCTTTGCTTTTTTTGTGGGTGTTAAGAGAGAAAGCCATGTCTGCATGTTCTTAAATTAAAAAATCCAGATATTTTTTTTCAAATATCTTTATCAAATTCATCCTTAGATGCATCCATAATAATTCTCAGCCAGCCAACCATCCTCTCTGCTACATTTACCATAAATTAGTGTATTCCAACTTATGGAGAAGCCATGGTTTTAGGAAAAATGAAGAGTTTCTCTGTAAAAACAAAAAAAAACTGTGGTTGTTTTTGGTTATTCCTGAAACATGTGAACATACAGTAAAACATTACAGTGCATTTATATGGTTGCAGTTATCAGATTGTCACACCTGGGTGACTTACACACAAGGGTATAAATTCAGGACCTTGCTGCCCTTTTTACCTGTAAGAGGTAGTAGATTTTGTATACTATTTTGAATCACAGGCCCGGTTATTCTTGAAACCTAGATTCTTTCCTACTGGAATGCTGTTAATGCAAATTTATATGTGTGTTGTTTTGGGGGGCTTAAGGGATGCATATTGGCAGCTGCAACAGCAATGTCATGTATGCCTTCTACACTTCTGGATTTACGTGGAATAAAGTGCCTTCCCATGTTACCTTTTTAGTTACATTTACATGTATGGTGTGAAATGATTCTGCATAGACGAGTGAAATGATTCTGCCATTGAGCTGTTAGCATCTATTTTAAAAGATTTACTCATTTTCCCATCCCTAATGTAGTTGCTAGCATGCATGCACAACAATACAATTTATATGGTAAATGGAGCCAAGTAATGGCCTCACTGAATGTTATGGCTGAACTGAAGGGAAATGTCACGGTAAATAGCTGCCGAATTATGGATTAAGCCAATGTGTCACTACTGCACTAAAGACAAATGGCTAAGAAAGTTATTGCCATTGTGACATTTTTGAATTATGTAACAAGACTATCCTCGTCTGAAGCATTTTGAGCCCCTATTTTAATAAATATTTGCAGCTGACTTGCGGATACAACCTGCTTACAAAAAAAGGCTGTATAACTAATTATCTGCAACGGCAGGAAAACCTTATATACATTTTACTTATTCTGACTGACATTGATGATAGGAAAGAGTATTTGCTATGGTCACTTCCAAATGAGAGGTTAGTAGAGTCTGCGTTCAACCCATTGCTGGAAATTATACAGAACCATAAGGGAACCTGCAACATTGTCTGTGAAGGGCAGTGATGCACATACAGTAACAATCTACACATGTGTATATGATTATTTTTATTATGATCAGTAACACCTTAAAAATATTAATCTTACTGTACTTCAATAATAAAATGTATATATATTAAATCCCGTCACTTCCAAATGCATGTACACACTAGTTTGATTTTAGTTTGTGTTGCAAAGCAATCTTTGAAATACAGCCGGTTTACGCTGTTTAAAAATATGAATATAAAGCAGGTTTCTTTCATATTTTAACACAAAACAATGCAACCCTTTTGGATGCATCTGTATTTCCCCAAAAAATACCTTTTATTATATTTTTTGGAGGGTTTATGTAGATATACATCCAGATACATGAGGTGGGTTTTTTTTTTTTTTGGTGGTTGTTTTTTTCTTTCTTCCTCTGAAAATGTTGCCAGCTCTTTTCATATTTCATTCAAACACAACAGCATCCTACTGGAGCAATCAGTATTTCCAAGAAAAAAATACCTGGCTTAGGTTTTTATAAAAAAATATGCAGTAAACAGGAAAAAAGTCAAATGTTATTTAAATACCATAAACAAACAATGAAACCTTTTTAAAACACGCATTAACTGATTATATGTGACTTTTACATATTGATAACATCATTTCTATACGAGGGCATTAATCAAATGAGGGGGAAAAAAAAGACATACATTTTCAAAAGTAAAGTAGGAAAACAAAGCATTTGTCATTTAGAGACACACCATGACATGTAAATATGGAAACATTCTTGCAAAATATTGTACCATTATATGTATATTCAGCGTTTTTAACATTGTCACCTTGCTGTGTTAACTAGGAAACCCATCCCATGGGCTGATAGCAGAAGGGATTACTTAGGGTTAGGGGCTAGGGTTAGGAATTGTGTTAAGGGTAAGGTTAGAATTACTTTTATCTGTGACCTATCTTCCAGTAACCATTTTTTTCTATTACTTTTTTTCCCCTGTGTTATTTTTCCTATCTCTTGCTCCCCTTTGTAAGCTTGCACACACTGACCTTTGTAGTGTGAATGGCTGATTGTACACTCTTATTGTGTGTGGGCACTATATGCATTAGAAATATTCAGTTATATGTTGTGGAAGCTTCTTTTACGTAAATGAATCCATAGAGCAAATTCCAAAATATCTTCTACCAGAATGGAATTCCTGCTTATTTAGTTTTGGCAGTTCCTTGCAGTCCCACTGTCAATAATTCAGTGGGACATTCCATTTTGGAACAGGAGCTTTCCAAAAATGATTTTAACAATTTCAAGTAGCTTTGTAAGACTTGAAACTATGCTTTTGTGTGTACGGTTCCCTTCACGTGTATTTCCTCTAGGGTCACAGCTTTTCTTCATGCTAAAACATATGTCTAGGGTTGCATTTTCCCACTCCTAGGGAGATTTGCATAGTATGTTATTTACTGAACTGCCTCTGTTAGCAGGAGTATTCGGCAGAAATTAGTATTGTTCCTGAATGGCGGCTGCATCACAGAAGAAATTGTTTTTTTTTAAATATACTTTAAGCCTTACCGCACAATATTCACAATCAAGCTAAATATATTTGCAGTGTGATCGACCAGTGCTTATCTTTGTGTAACCCTGAGGTTCCGGGCTAATACAGCGAATGGAATAGACCAACTGGAAAAAAAGATTTTCAAGAGAGAGCAATGAATACTGTATATTGTTTGGACCCCAGAAATCTACACATTCTGTTGTTCTTTACCCACATGTTCTTTACTTTGTGTAAAGAACAGTTGACGTTAGTCCAACAACACAGTATGTCTGAAGTTTGTGAGCATTGAAGCAACAGGAGGTCTGCTCTCACTGGAGTCACAAAATGTATATGGCCAACAAGAGGAAGCAGAAGAGTCAAGGTGACATGAAGAGGAAAAGACAATGAAAGTGGGGGCTTCTAAGTTTTTTTAGGTATTTTTCTGTGGGTACAGTCCTGTACTGATAAAACAATGACTGCAAAGACAGCTAAACCCTGTACCAGAGCTCCCTGTACCCCGGCTGGGTACATTCGCCAGCTGGAACGGGAAAAACCGCAGCACTTCTGACCACAGTCGCCGTGGCTTGACTGGGGCCCTGGAACCGCGCTCTCCTGGAGCTGAATGGGGAATTCACTCTAGACACCCCCAGGCACTGGATGACACTCTGTTCTGGGAGCTGTAGTCCTTACAAGGACTTTTCCCGTTGAATCCACCACACTGGAACAGTTATTAAAGAATAGCCTTTTCTCCTCCCAGTAACCAGACGACACATAGTTCTGGGAGTACAAGCTGGAATCTTTAATGGCATATAAGATGCATTTCCCCATGCAAAGGGCACTCCTCCTGGACCTAAGAGTAAACCACAGTTGAAACAAATACACAATTACATTGGCTCTCAGATCCAGGACCCTCCTCTGTGCCTGGGAGATAATTGGATCAGGAACTGTACTAATCTAATCCAATTATCTCCAAGCACAGAAAAAAACATACTTTTTCCAAAACACCCCAAAAGCACCCTAAAATACATAAAACCCCACAAAAGTTACATGATATTCCTGATCTGGGTGACCAACATATCCAAAAATCACTCAGATCCGTTCAGGGGTTCAGGAATTTCATGGAAGTCATTTGTTTGACCGACTGCACGCATGGTCCCATGCCCAAAACAGTTCCATAGAATCAGGGGTAGTGGTCTGTCTAGTTCGCTAGTTTAAAAACAAACAAACTACTGAACATAATCGCTGGTCTTACCCTGGAGCTTGTTCAGACGAACGATTTCACCTAACAGTGCCCTTCTAACTTGTGTCGAACCGAACGCAGGCGATGATGGAAGTCCAGTGGTGTTCGGGAGTTTCTGTGTCCGATTTTTAGTTCCATGAGATTCATGCCCAAACACCGCTGCCTGCGTTCATGCGAGCAAGATGGCCGCCACCTCGTGGTCATCTATAGGAATTGCGGTCACCCAGACGAACATTTAGAACACTGGGTAACACATTGTTACTATGTAGCAATTAGGCTTAACAAGCTCCAGGGTGGTCTCCGGTTTGTACGGCTGTTCGGTTCCCGAACCACATAGTCCTAATACACGAACTGAGACTTTTATATCACATTATACAAGGTCCATAGTCTGTGGACAGGAGGCTTCAAGCAGGCTCCTCCTGGAACCCGTGGCAAACTCACTTGGAAAGGGGAGTTTGTCACAAATCCCTTTGCAGGTGACCACAAGAAAATTTAACTTAGAGAAGATTTTGGATAGCAATGCCACTTCAATAATAATTTTTATTTGATATATAGCAAATATGAGATGCATTGTGAGTATCACTATCACGTTATTTATTTAGTTTTTGACACAGTTTTTTTTTTTAAATTTTTTTATCATATTTATTTTGCAAATTGGGGAGTTGGCTGACACTAACTAAGGGTTCATAGAAAAACATTAGTTTCAATGGTAAATGTTAGGGCTTTTTATAAAAAATAACTATCATGCTGCTATTAGAAGCTTAACAAGGAACATTCTAATGTAAAAAAATAATTATATGACATTTTTAATGTTACAGTGTCCCTTTAAGTGAATAAAATCTACCTAGATTATTTTCAGGTGACAGTGCCACTTTAAATTCCATAAAGTCTAATTCAAATATCTAAGTAGGTACATGAAATGTTTAAATTCTGCCTTCCTATAATAAATCATTTCTGAAAGGAGCTTTTGGTTATAGGTGAATACTTTAGTAGTTGTCCCTTTAATTTTTTTTATGTAACAGATACGTAGAAACCTAGAATGTTACGGCAGATAAGAACTAAATACTCTCATACTATCTTATAACTTGTATAGCCTTATGACTATCCCACGCAAGCTTAATCTTCCTTTCTGTGTTAACTTCTACCACTTCAGCTTGGAGGCTATTCCATGCATCCACTACACTCTCAGTAAAGTAATAGTTCCTGTCCTGATATTAGTTTTAAACCTTTGTCCCTCTAATTTAAGACTATGCCCTCTTGTTGTGGATATCTAATACCAATAAACTATGGTAGATGCACAAGAAA